CCAGAAGCCAGCGACTGATCTGCCTCACCCGGGAAGAGCGCAATGATGGTGCCAACTTGGGCCAGTGAAGCAACGTCCTCAACTAGACTGAAGAACAAAAGGACAGCAACTTGTCTGTTCCCCTTCCCCCAATTTCCCAGCACTGTTCCCATCCCCCAATTCCCCAATAAAAATCTTTTAAAATAATAATAATAAAATAAAATAAGTTAAAAGATATCAAAAATTAATTAAGACAATTAATTCAACCAAATGACAAAAAGGGTACAATTTTATGGCATAAGCATCAAAAAGGGAGTAACCAAGGAAAGAAACAGAAGATTCTGAACTGAGTGAGTCATGTGTGATTCTTAACCTGCCCCACAAAGGTATACCAGGAAAGCAGGTGAGTCCACAAAATCCTGAAAAGTCTCACTTAGAGTGTGTGAACAACCTGGAGGCAAGTAAAGGAAAAAAAATCTCCAGGAGTAGAAGTCCCTATCTGCCTCCAGGAGCTCTCTCAGCAGAGGTGGGAAAAAACCACCCAGCTTCCATTTTTCCAGGTGCCACTGTGAATTACGGTAAGGGTCTGAAGGCCAAGTGTACCTTCTCATAGGCATTTGCGGACACACTCTGCACAATTCACAAGAAGAAAAACTGGATAATAGAGTGCATCCCTATTTCTTTCCTTCAAGTATTTACCTGTTTGCAATTACACGCTCAAGTGTGATCATTCACCTAATTCTATCTCTCCGCTCGCCAGCAGTCTCCACGATAGCAGAGATGGGTCTGCATTTGCTCAGGATCGCACTTAGCAAGTTAAGTGTAAAATAAATCATAGGGCCACCTCATAGGTTGTATAATAAACACTCCATTCGATGAGTGAAGGAGTGGACGTATGAATGGATGTCAAAGAAATCGGACTTCCTGCGCCGTGCAAATTCCACAGCCACCATTTTTACTTGGCACAGTTCACAAGGAAGAAAAACTAGACCCCATGGGGTCTGAGGCGTCTCCTAACTAATAAAAAGAGCCTACTTGATTTATTTAGCAACAGCTGTGGCAATGTATTTACAACCGTGCGAGCACATCCCATTCCCTGCGCCAAGTACATGCTGCAGGTTAAATGAACAAGATAACATTTTACACGGCTTCAGTCAACATTTACATTCTGGGAAATTTATTTTTGACATTGGCTATTCCAAGAAAAATAAATAACTCAAGAAGAACCTGTGACTATATCACCGAAGCCTTTTTGCCTCTTGTCAGTGAAACTAATAAATCACATACACAGCCGGTTTAAATGTACATGTAAATAAAACATTTTCTCTACCTGTCTGCTCTCCTTGTTCCTTATATAAAATGTATTTATATTTCTCCAATACACCCTAAGATTTTTCGGGTTTGGTTTAATTTTATGCAAGACTAAATCAATGTATTTTAGGGTTTAAATGGCCTATTTTCACAGAGAAAGGAAGGCGCTCTGAACATTAGAAGGAAGGCAAAGCCCTTCGGGGAGGAGAGACTCGGCCTCGGGACGCAACCCCCGCCGGCGACACCCTTACTAGGCAAAGTCCTCGCGTTCTCAACTGCCGCCGGGTAACCACTTCCTCAACCCTCATTGCTAAGGAGCTCGACACCCCCCAACTCGGCCCTGCCGTAAACCTGCGCGCTCTTGCGACATTGCCGCGCCTGCCGCTGCGTGCGCGCCCTCTGCCCCCACTCTCCGCCCTGACCGCCATTGCCTCGTGCCCGCGCCGGTCGGTTGGTGGCGCCTTTGTCCTACGGCGGGCAGGTGGGCTGAGGCGGAGGCGGCGGCGGCGGCGGGCCTGAGGCGAAGGAGCGGCCGGGAGCCCGCCGCGCTGGTAGCGGTGAGTGCCGGGAAGCGGTGGCCGTCCGTCGAGGCGGGGGTCTGACGGGCAGGCGGTTGAGGTGGACACGGGCCTGATGGGGAAGCTGAGGCGGGAGGGCCCGCTCAAAAGCGCGACCGCGACCGCGACCGCGGCCTGGGCTGTCTCCGGGTGCGCGCGGGGGCTGCGCATGCCCGGTGCGGGGCGCGGCCTCCTCTGGCTCCTGTCAGGCCCAGGCCCGGCCATTCGGGGCGGCTGGGGGTGGGCTCAGGTCCCGCTGCGCCGCGCCGCAGCCTCCTATCTGCGCGAATCGCCGACATTAGCCCTCCAGGCTTCTCCGTAGGGCAGGGCTGCACACCCTGCGCTTCCTTCTCAAAATGATGCAGTCATTCGGCTTGCGGGTTCCCAGCGCGTCGGTGGCGCAGTCGAGATTCGAACCCGGGTCGTGGCGGGCCGCCTCACAGTGCCGTGCGGCCAACCAAGCGCTGTCCCTGACCGCCGCCGCCTCGCGGCCCCTCGACAGCATCCTCGAGGCGTCTCCCTTGTCGTGTGACACCCCCACCCATTTTATAACGCGGACCCCGGGCCCTTAGAGAACGGGGAAAGAAACTATGTCGCGGTTACCCCGGAGATTAGCGACAGAGCTGCTGGCTCTCCCGTGTCCTCGTCCATGGCACTTTCCACTCCCGGCCAACCCCCGCCAGGTTGCTTTTTTTAGGACGGCGTTCCCCAAATTCCAGGCTCTCGCGTTGCACCTTTATGTCCGAGTACCATCTGTACTGCTGTTGATTTACCAAATGTTAATTTTTTTTTCCTTTAAACACTCCCCCCCCCCGTTTCTTAAATATATTTGTTTAAGGTGGAAACGTAAATCACAAACCGTATAATGGAAGCCAGTTATTTCTCTAATGCTCATAAAAAAATAAACGCCGATTTATTGAAATAAACAGTGCGTCCTTGTTCCTCCTGAAATTATTCTGCATTCCACGCTTTGGGAAACGCTTCCCTAGGAGTGTGGGGGTTAATTGTCCTTCTGGCTTTCGCTCTGCGCAGAATTCTTCCCTGAGGCATAGCAGATTCTCCGAAATATGCCCCAGGATCTTCGGGGATGATAACTAATATTACAAGCTTTCTCAGTGTAAACTGTTCTCATTATTGACGTACAAAACGGTAGTCCCAGGTCACTGCAGGAACTTGTCCGCTCAGGTGCACCCGACGTGCCGCCTTAGTTTTCTTGTTGCATTGTGGTGCGGTCGTCAACTTCCAGTTCATAAAATGATGTTTCTGCAAACGCTGGTGGAGCAGTTTTGAGTTCTTGACAACTAGAGATTTAATGTTTTCTGTGTGACTCAGTCTGGGTGTGAAAACTAACTTTCATGTTGATTTTTTTTTTTTTCCAAACCAGTAAAGCCCAAACTGTGCATTGGTGGGCATCGGAGATCACTTGGCTATTTGCTGTAACAGTTTCTTCCTTCGTTCCGGTTTCTTTACCTTTCTTTTAGCTCATCTGTCACCCTCCAGATATTCTTTGAAACCCCTGACAAAATCTTTTAACCTAAAACATAGAAACAGTGATTCTCCTTATAGAATGTGCTGGAGAAACCATACTGCAAGTGGAAGGAAGTTTTCTAGTTGCCGGTTGCTCAGTATCCCATGCCTCCTTGAACACCACGTGTTGAAAGGAGGCATTGACAAATTAACTTACTTATGAGCTGACAGTCGAGTTTGTTCTATTTGTAATCTGTTCATAAGCTCTGTTTTTATGTGTGAGAGAGCAGAATTACTTCAATTCATTGAAAGATAACTGAAAAAGCTCAGGCCATTCAAGGGTTTTTTTTCTCAACGGCTATATAAAAAAATATATACATTCTTTGGGATTACTTTGATATGAGCACAGTGTAGAACTTACATAAGGTTAAGGTAATTGTCTTCACATTTCTAAGCAGCAGTCCTTTGTAGAGGAGGAATGAGAATTTGTTTTACTCAAGAGTCAGTCGCAGAACATCAGCAAACAGAGCCTCGTCTACCAGTGCTCAAAAGTTAAGAATAAACATCTTTTTGAAAGGGTTAAGAAGTCTAATGAAAAGTGCCTGATAGTTTGAAACTTCATTTTAAATAACGTTTGCAAGTCTTCTGTCTCTGTGTCCTGCAGATGGCAGTACCTCGTATGGCTTGTTAACTACTGTGAGAATTACTGAAATTTAGTTGTGCTTTTAAGAATGAAAAACATTTGGAGGAAATATATTTAATATCTTATTCCCTTTAGCTATTTTTTTTTATTCCCATGAAGAACGAAATGTCTAAATTCACTATTACTCTTAGTGGTAATGATAACATATAACCAGCAATGCATATGATTTACGAATACCAACGCATTTTCTCCTGTGAGTCATCTTGTGAGATAAAATAGACTGGTATTATTATCTTTTTTGCATATGAGGAAATAATGGCTCAAAGAGGTTCGATTTCTTGCTCAAATCACATATTTAGTAGAACGCATTCAAGGCATTACTGAAGATAAAGATTTCATGATAAGCAAAATTGGGACATTCTGAGGTAAAACGGTGTCCTTAGTCCAGAACTTCTCAAAGGCTTTAACGCTAAACATGTGCAATGTAGATGTCCAAGAGGAAAATATCATGCTGCATGTCTTACTAAGAACATGGAAATACCAATGCTCCCCAAAACTACTCTTTCTGCTGTACTGCTTCTTCTCTGTATCTTGTGGTTTACTGATTACTGTGTATCTTGGAGACAAGTGCTTTTAAAGCTCAGTTAGCTTTTTGTTTCAAGAGATTTGTCCTGTAAACAGCATACACATTTGTCTAGACTATTCAGCTTAAGCAGAGTTTAAGTAAACTGTCAAGAAGTTAAAAGGGCAATGACCCTCTATGTTACTCTCATTAATGATGGGCATTAATGAAAGGAGCGGGGTGAGGCCACTGTCTGAAGCAGCAGCACATTAGGGAAATATGAAGTACACTGACAGCTAAATATATAATACCAGCATGCCTGCTGCTTTTTAAATAGTGGTTTTATTACCACCAGATATGAATATTTATAGGGATGGTCATTTTCATTCTTTATCCTATCACTAAAAGCATAAGAGATAATAGTCAAGTGGACCAATTACTTTTATGTTAAGAAAATAATTCCCCTCAAAGAATCACAACTTTCCAGACCATAAGACACCTTTCCCTTTATTTCATGTTCAAAACAACATTATTGTTGACCTATATAAAGACCAACAACTTCAGGCAAGGATCAGGGCAACTTAAGTTGCATTAGAGATCAGCTATAAAGCAGAATGTCTTATAACTTTAGCTCTAAAATAATTTCAGTGGTCCCCTGTTTTGGATCGGAATGATTCAGTTGCTGAAGATTTGGTTGACCCTGCAGCTAGTGGGCAAGCTTTGAAGAGCTTTATAAGTAATTTGGCTTTAAATGAGTATACTTAATTATGTAATTGGAGATTAAGGTAATAATAACATGTATTTAAGGTCAGATATGATACAAGAAGTTTACTTTTAATCTCTTCAAAAATTATTTTTGACATCCAAAAGAAAAAGTAGGGAAAACATGATTTGGTTCAGTTTTAAAATTTAAGATTATGAACGTGTAACTGAACCTCTGGCAGCCTTTGGGAAACTTACATTAGGACAGCATCAGTCACTAGAACAGTTTATTGGAAAGACAGATCCTTGAATGCAGCTCCCTACCCCCCACGCCCAACTGACTGGTCTCTGGAGGTGAGGGCCAGGGAATCTGCCTTTTAAAAGCCACCCCTGTGGTTTTATGTACATCAAAGTTTGAGAACCCCTTATTTAGGACTTTAGAAAATGAGTTTTCACTGGAAATAAGAGATTGAAGCAGATTCTAGTACTAATCTATTCATATCCCAGATTACTAATAGAGATTGACAACTGGTTTATGGTTGGGTTTATGTTAATGGATTTATTTTAATTAAGCAAGACCTTAGTTTAACTATCAAATGCTTTTGGCTTCATAATTTGAACTAGAGGTAATAGGAATAGTTAGAATATCTGTGGCATTTTCAGTATTTTAATTCCTTCCATTCAGTAGGATGCTTTCACCTTCTTGAGAACAAAGAAAGCAGACCTACCAAGATCCCATGATCTGCTTATTAAATTTAGATTTGCTTTTAATGGTGTGGATGTGAAATTATATGTGTGGCCATTATTCTCTTTTTGCAAAGAGCTGCATGTAGATATGAAAACAAAACGCCTCAGAAGAAGCAGGAGTTCTAGCCTCTGCCAGCAAAATACTGACAGCTCTAGTTTGCAGAATTTAGAGAACTTTAGTTGACAGTTTGCCCTTTATTAGCCAAAGAAGTGGCTAACATCCTATCAAAAAGTGGCAAACTCAATGTTTAATATGTTTCCTGTCATTTTACAAATACATAATTGGAAAAAGAAGCTTAAATGTTCAGGATACTTTTTAAATGATCAAATGGAATTGAAGAGAACTGGTGCACTGCACACTCCTGGGAGTAGGGGGACTGACCTTATAATTGAATATTATTACCTTTTGCACTATGAAAACTTGGGTTCATGATTCCATTTCCTTTAGAGGTAGCCATGTGATTATGCTTCTGTATCATTTTCCGGGATTATACATTTACAGATTTTAACCATTGTGATATTTTTTTTGTAGCAGATTATGTTTATGAGTTATTTCCCCTTGAATACAGGAGTTTAGAGAGGTTTCTGAATAGAAGACCTAAGTACATGTTACGGATACACGATAGGGATAAATAGATAATAGAGTAGTAGTTCCCAAATACCTGCCAAGAATCCCCTAAGAAACTTGTTAAAATATAGATTCCCAGGCTCAATCCTCAGATTCCAAAAGTTTGAGACAGGGCCTGGGAATCTGATTTTTTAACCATCTTAGGTGGTGTTGATATATCTTCATCAAATGTGATGTGAGAATGAAAAGAATAAACATTTAAATGACAGGGAAATGGGGAGATGTTTAATGGATGTGGAGAGTTAGTTTTG